ATTTATTTATTTTTTTAAAGAGAGAGTGAGAGAGGGGGACAGAGAGAGAGAGAGAATTTTAACATTTATTTATTTTTTCTTAGTTCTCAGCGGACACAACATCTTTGTTGGTATGTGGTGTTGAGGATCGAACCCGGGCCGCACGCATGCCAGGCGAGCGCGCTACCGCTTGAGCCACATCCCCAGCCCCTATAATGTATATTTATGTATCTAAATGTATAGATTATTTTCGTAGGCTAGCCTGAATGATTTGGCAAGACAGTCAAACAAAACAAAAAACTGGGATCCTATCATACCTATTACATCACAGCTTGCTTTTTTCCCTCTTTTTTTGAGTATGTATTTCCATGACATTATTTTAAAGCCATGGAGTCTGGCTGAGCAACCAGGCTGGTCTTGTGCCCCTGGGCCCAAGTGATCCTCCTGCTTCAGGGACTATAGGTGCTCCCCAACCTTCCTGGCCCTTCCCATGACATTCTTTTTCTGTTTTTTTGACTATATATTGAACCCAGGGGCACTCAAGTACTGAGCCACATCCCAGCCCTATTTTGTAGTCTATTTCGAGACAGGGTCTCACTGAGTTGCTGATTGTCTCGCTGTTGCTGAGGCTGCTTTGAACTTGTGATCCTCCTGCCTCAGCCTTTAGAGCTGCTAGGATTATAGGCGTGCGCCACCATGCCAGGCCAATGCCATTTTTTTTTTTAACAGCTGTGTATTTTTTTTTTTTTTATCAGTCTAACTGTGCTGAAACGTAACTACCAAGCCCCTTACTAAAGAACATTCACATATGCTCAGAAGGCTGAGGCAGGAAGATCGCAAGTTCCAGGCCAGCCTAGGTAACTTAGCAAACCCTGTCAAAATTTGAAAAGGGCTAGGATGTAGCTCAGGGTAGAGTGCTTGCCTGGGTTTGAACCTCAGCACCTCCATACTCAGGCCTCTTCCCAGTGCTTTGTTGTCGGTGGGTAATAAACCACCTGTCTCAAGCTAGGGACGGAACCCAGGGCCTCACACATGCTAGGCCAGCGCTCCACCACTGAGCCACTCGCCCTGCCCAACCATAAATGTCTCAGCATGTAAGTTGCAGGGCCCTGGATGGCACTTCTAGACACAGTGCCGGAAACAGGTGGGCCAGCGCATCACCGGTGGGCAGGTCTTCACCTTCTACAGATATTGTTGACGTTGGACCTCGGGCAGGCGACCTCCAGTAAGTCAGAGGCAAAGAGTAGATGGTGGAAGAAAGGTCAGGTGGGCATCTGCTGTCACCC